ATGTTGGCGAGGCTGGTCTCAAACTTCTGACCTCAAGCAATCTACCTGCCTCAACTTCCCAAAGTGCTGGGATTACAGGCGCGATCCACCACACCCAGCCTACATTTATTCTTAAAATGCCTTAAGTGCACAGAGTATTTGAGGGGTCTTTTACTCCAAAGTAATCCAACTATATTTCTTTTAAAAACTAAGGGCAATTCAGGCATTTTAATTCATATGACCCTCCTAACCCCACATTCCCCCACTCTTCATTAGTTCAAACTGGAGAGGCCTTTTGAATTTTTTCCTGAACTTGATTCTAGAAAGTTTATACCAAGTAAAGCAGCTATATCCAAGTTCCTCATAATGATTACAGCAATTACAAGGGTTCCAAGCCTAATAAAGTAATCTAAGGGCAGGAGGTTTGGAGGCATGGTTTTTCTTGGCATTCTTCTAATGATAGCCTGGAGCTGAGTGGCATCTTGGCAGTTGTGTACTGTTTGAATACATTAGACTGCTCCCGACTCTGTTACTTGCTAGCTGTGTGACCTTGGGCAAATGATCAAACACTCTGTGACTTAATTGCATATAAATTTTAGAGTCTCATTATAAACCTTCTCTATAGTCCTGGGAAAGATCAAAATGAGAGGCCATAGAGCATGGTGCTCATGAGCACGGCACCAAATTGCCTGAGTTTGAGTCCTAGCTCCATTGACTTTTCTGGCTGGATGACCTTTGGAATGTTATTTAATCTTTTTGTGCCTCAATATTCCACATACATAAAATGGGGTGGGGTAGGGGAACAGCGCTTACCTCTTATGACTGTCATGAGAATTAAATGGAGCCAGTTCATATACTATTCCTGGTACACAGTAAGTAACAAATGGCAAGGATGGTACGTATAGTTGTACAGGTTGTTCACTGTTCAAGGGCTCCGACCTGAGTCAAGTGAGGGCTTGCCAGGCCATACACTTTAGCGTGAGGTTACCTACCTAGAGGTGGCACTGTTTTCTAATTCGTACCAGGCCCTATATGAGCCAGCTGTCAGCATAGGGATTGTAGTATCCAGCAACCACTACCTTAGCATTGTCTTTAGGCTTTGGGCTGATGTTCACTGAACACTTGCCAGTTTTATTATAACTGTTACTTGGTAGCTTGGTGGAGTTCTCCAGGATAACCTCAGTGGGATGCCGATATCCCAAGCCTTGCCATTACCATTCAGATACTATGCTGGAAATCAAATAAAAAATATTAGCTAGGTACAAAGTTTAAAATCATGCGGGACAATATTATATATTGCTTAGGCATACACACAGATGTGGTGCAAGTATAGAAAAATGCATGAGAATGATAAGCCCCACATCTGGATAATGGGTTACCTGGGGTGAGGAGGGAATGTAATTAGAAAGGGATGAAGGAAGGTTCGGCTCTACCGTAATTTCTTTCTTTCTTTCTCTCTCTTTCTTTCTTTTTCTCTTCTTTCTTTCTTTCTGAGACAGAATCTCTCTGTCGCCCAGGCTGGGTGCAATTTCGGCTCACTGCAACCTCCACCTCCTGGGTTCAAGTGATTCTCCTGCCTCAGCCTCCTGAGCAGCTGGAACTACAGGTGTGTGCCACCACGTCCAGCTAATTTTTGTATTTTTAGTAGAGACAGAGTTTCACCATGTTGGCCAGGATGGTCTCGATCTCTTGGACCTCATGATCTGCCCACCTCGGCCTCCCAAAGTGCTGGGATTACAGGTGTGTGCCACCGCACCTGGCCTCATAATTTATTTCTTAAGCTTAATGGTGGCTACATAAGTGTTTATTATTTTTTAATCTTAAATATTTAAAAATAATGTATTATTAATACTATTAAATAAGACCCGTCTTTCTATGTAAGAACTAATTTTGCATTTCTCTCCTCATTAGTTCCTGTTCAATATTAAATCAGTGTATTGATCGGGAACCACGGAATCAAGTAATCACTCATTTGACAAGTGTTTACTTGTTGAATGATAGGATGTTCAAAGAGCTAAGAACTTCATCTATACACTGTAACACTTAGAACGCTTGTAACATTCATAATAACGTTTGTTATTTCACTATGTTTTCTTCTTTCTGTGAAGACAGATCTCTGTATTATTTATATTTATGATTTCTGCTACATAATAGGTGATAAATAAATGTTAGTATAAACCGAATGAAACATAAATGTGACTATTATTGTCCTCAAAGAGCTTTCAAATATACTAGGGGTGAGATATGAAATGAGATAATGCAGGTCATAAGTGCCATAAATGAGGAGCAAAATTGTGTGGGAATTCATTTATGCATTCGTTCATTTGAAAACTATTTATTAGGCATCTACGAGGCACTGAGCATGTGACTGTAAACAAACAGTCATTGGTTTTTAGATGGCCCGCTTCTCACCACTTTCATCACTGTCTAACTGGCCTATGCTGCCAGCATCTTTTGTTTGGATGATTGCAATCATCCAATGCTGAAATCCTAACTCATCTCCCTACTTCCGCTTTGCTCCGCTATAGTAAAATCTCAACCGTGTCCGGAGAGATCCTCTTAAAACCTAAGCCAGAACATGTCACTCCTCTGCTCTGACACCTCCAATGGCTTCTCATCTGTAAGAGAGTGCAGAAATTGCCATAATTCTTTACATTTTCCTATCAAGAAATGCAGTCTGTTTCTCAACTCATTGAGTCTGCACTGGCCTTGTGATTTTCCTTGGCCAATAGAATGTGGCAGGTCCTGAGTTCCATGCTAGTTCTGAGGCTAGGTTCCATGGAAATTTGAATGCTTCTGCTCTTACTCTTGGAATCTTGCCACTGTCAAATAAACATGCTCAGACCCACCTGTTGGGAGATGAGAGACCATGTGGAGGAGAAATTCCCAAGGCAAGGCCAGGCCAGACCAGTCGATTATCAGCCAACTTGCCAGCTGTCTGAGGACACATGACCAAGCCCAGCTGAGATCAGCCTAGCCCAGGCTATACCCAAAGAGCCTTTCAGCTGACCCACAGACTTATGAGCTAAATAAATGGCTTGGGTCATTGAAATTTCTGGTAGTTTGTTGGGCAGTGAACACTGATATTCTCATTTAGACAAAAAGTCAAACTTCTTTTTGCAACTTATCCGCAGTACTTAGTGCTTGGCACATGATAGATGCACAGTGAACACGTGTTGAATATATTAATAAAAGCACAAATGGTTTTACCATTCTATTGAGGGAAACAGGAAAAAGATAAATCAATAAACTAATAAAATAAGTACCAAATTGGTTAAGTACTATGGGAGAAATGAACAGCAGCTGAAGTAGAGGGTAAGAATGAAGGTGGATGGGGGGACCCTCCATGGGCTCCCCAGGTCTTTCAGAATGAAAGTTAAAATTGTGGTAGTGGGCTGGGCGCAGTGGCTCACACCTGTAATCCCAGCACTTTGGTAGGCTGAGGCAGGCAGATCACCAAGTCAGGAGATTGAGACCATCCTGGCCAATGTGGTGAAACCCCGTCTCTACTAAAAATACAAAAATTATCTGGGCGTGGTGGCATGCACCTGTAGTCCCAGCTACTTGGGAGGCTGAGGCAGAGAATTGCTTGAACCTGGGATGCGGAGGTTGCAGTGAGCCAAGATTGTGCCACTGCACTCCAGCCTGGCAACAGAGCAAGACTCCACATCAANAAAAAAAAAAAAAGTCCTGATAATGGCTTCTAAGGCCCTCCCTGACTGGGCCCTTACCCCCTGACCTCATCTCCTGCCCCTTTCGCTGCCTCTGGGATCGATCTACCCTGGCCTCCCCGCTGTTTTTCCAATACTCCAAGCGCACTTTCACCTCAGGTCCTGGAATGTCCTTCCCTTAGGGACTCATACCATTCACTCCCTCTCTTCCTTCGAACCTCTGCTCAGATATTCCAGTATTGGGCAAGGCCCTTTTGACCACCCGGAATTCCCTAACCTTCAACCCTGCTTAATTTTCCTCCATAGGAAAGGAATTCTGTCTTGCTTAATTTGCCTTTAGGATAGTATTGTCTTAGCCCAGAAATTCAGCTCATGGATACAAAACTCCTCTAGGGAACATTCCTGTCAATCCTGGAATCTAATAAGGCAATCTAATTTGGCTTCGAGCCACCCTGGGAATAAGGTAAGGCCTTTTAAAAAAGCCATGATGTCCAGGTGACAGTGGAATTGCTCACAGACAACTCTACAAAGGCACTCATGGCAAGGCTGGGAATACTCTCCACTCACCGTCTCTGTCATATACTTTACAGTTTGCTGGGACATTCTGATCCATGTTGTCATTTGTTTTGTGCCACAAACCTAAGGGGTAGGCAGGGCAGGTTTTATCATCCTCTGTTTACAGATGAAGATAATGAGGGTCTCAGAGCTCAAGGGAGCTACCCAGGACCACGGACATATAAAGCAGTAGAACCAAAATTTAAATCATGGTTGGTCTGGTTTCTTTTTTGACTGTTTCTCCATTCTGGGTTCTGACCTGGGGTCTTTGAATCATAAAGATTCAGGGTCTGTCTGGAGCTGCTCAATATGGAAGACATCTTTTCTCTAAAGAGTATGAGCTCCCTGCCAAACAGCACAGGCGCTAAATAAGCTTTCAGAGCAGCAACTCTAGAGCCTCCCCTGTGGCTTTCTGATCTACCACAGCCCTTGTGTTTGATGGTCAAGAAAGGAGAATGCCCCTGGATCACTTTATCTCCAGACCACCCCGGGCTGGCTGGACTGTAAGGGATAAGGAAGGACAAGATGGGTGAGCCGCTGCTTTCAACCAAAAACCAGGAAGAAATCCCAGTCTCGTTGCTTTATTTTGGTTGAAAAATCAAGTCGTGTGACAATGGAAACTTTTTCCTGGTTGTCCTCTCCTCTCTGCCCATGTTGACAGAAGACGGACTTGCTAATTCTGGCTGGGGTTTTTCCCTGCCTGGGCTGTTTTTCTATTTTATCTTCATCAATTGAACAGGGCTGCTGTGTCTTTCAAACTGTCGGAAGGTATCTGTATTTTTTTTTCTTTCACATAATTTTGTAGGTCTTTTCCCAGATATGTATTTTTCTCTCTAACTTCTAACTTGCTGAAGTTTCCGCCCATGTGACTTCCAGCATGTTACCAGAAACCACAAGAGAGAGAGAGAGAGCGTGCAAGCCCCAGAGCGAGCGACATGTCCCTTTGGGGAGCAGTCCCTCTGCACCCCAGAGTGAGGAGGACGCAGGGGTCGGAGGTGGCTATAGGGCAGGCAGAGGAGGTGCCTGTGGGGGGTGGTGGGCTAGTGGCCCAGGAGAAGTCAGGAAGGGAGCCCAGCTGGTGACAAGAGAGCCCAGAGGTGCCTGGGGCTGAGTGAGAGAGCCCGGAAGATTTCAGCCATGCCTCACAGCTCCGACAGCAGTGACTCCAGCTTCAGCCGCTCTCCTCCCCCTGGCAAACAGGTAGAGTCCTCCTTTTCCTCTCTCCTAACTTCTCATTCTCCTGGGGGATGGAAAGAGGGACAGGCTTCCTTATCCTGCCCAGGGAGCTGAGGATGGAGGAGGTGGCTCGTGGCATGGGCACTCTGTTAGACTTAGGACATGGAATTTGCTACTAAGCTGTGCATATTGGCAGAGACCCTCATCTTTCCACCCATTCTGCCAAAGCCCCTTTTTCTCTCCATTTTCCAAGGCTGGTGCCTATCACCTCTGCCTCACTGGGGTTGCCACCCTAAGAAGCTTTCTAGGAAGCAAAGAGGAGGATGAACATCAAGAACACAGAGAAAAGAGTCTACTGTTCTCCAAGGCTGTAGAAAAGTAAGAGGAGTTTTTAAGTGGGCTGCTGGCATGCACAGCTCAAATTCTAGATATGTAGTTTCCCAGGAGACAGCCAACAGTGAAAGAGATAAAAAGGGGTCCGGGAAAAGTTAAAAAAAAAAAAAAAGAAGAAGAAGAGGAAGAAGGAGGAGGAGGAGGAGAAACCCAGGCTAGCACAGAAGGGTCTCTCTGCTGGGGCACTGCCTCTGTTACTAGCACACCCAGCAAGGGGGGATGCTAGAGGTCCGGTCAACACCTCGTCCCTGTGGCTTCTGCACAGGAGCAAGGAAATGAATGAGGAGGTGGCTCTGGACATTTGTTGGAGACATTTCCTGGTAGCTCATCTTCGCTCTGGGGAAACAGAGAGATTGAGATTGGGATTCTGGGAGCATTTGGAGTCCAGATTGTGACTTCCAAGTCAAAAGTTTCAGCTAGAGGAATTGCCAAAGAAGGAGTGCCCTGCCCATCTCACAGCTCCTAGGGATTTTTTCTGCACCACACTCTTGACATCCTTGCTGCAGGAAGTCCTCCTCTTTCTCATCCAACGTCTATCCATGGGTAAAATTTTCTCTACCTTCATAGTTTAAAAGTGCATTCTTTCCTTAGCACAGATATCCAGGAGGGCTTTCAAAATGCTGCAGCCAAAATAAAAGTATATAAACACCGAATAGGGCATCTATCCTAAGCCTCTAGCAACGGAGCAGCAGACTAGAATGAGTCTAGGTGAGACCTCTAGAAGGACAGAATCCAGTCCTCTGCTCAAGATGGTATCAGAGTGGCTCTGACTGCCTGGAAGTTTGTACTCTTCTTAGGAAGGAAATTACTCATGGCTTCCATGGTAACCTGGTGCCCTATCCCCCTTAGAGGAAGAGCACTTCCTTCCTATCTATGCCAATGCCCTCCTACCACAACGGCCTGAAAATACTGGACATGTTGTTGAGCTCAGTGCCTAGTGAGCCCAGAGCTTTGCCCTCAGATCTGTGCCCCTCTAGTCTGTGGGGGATGTAGAAGGGAAAAGGGCACCAGTCACTAAAGGGTTTCACTCAGACGGCTACACCGATGCTGCAGCATCTAGATGAGAATTGGAGGTAACCCTTCTGCCCAGGCACAGAACATGCCCATCTCTGGGTGTAATTAGAGAACACCCCAAGGTCCCCTTATCCTCCCAAGCGCCCATCCACGACCCACCACAGCCAGCTCACCTCCACCATTAACATTATTTTTGGCATCGATGTGCCAGGCATTGTGCTGGGGCCGTGGGGAATGTCACAGTGGCTAAGCACAACGGCGGGACAGAGAAGGCAGATCTGGGATATGCCCTCAGCTCAGGAATGCAGCAGAAGACTACATGGGGTGCAGAGTAGCTAGTGGGGGAAGGGTCATAGAAAGGCATTGGGCTCAGCACTCTCAGATGAGGGAGAGTACTTGGGCATGCTCTTAGAGCCTCAGTTTCTTCATTTATAAAATGGAAATGATGATATCAACTTCACAGCATTGGGAAATTAAACAAGAACACTTCTGTAAGAACACTTGCACAGAGGCTGGCATATAGTAGTTGCTCAACAAACTTTGAAAAAAAACGGCTCAACGAACAGCAAGAAGAGCCTAAAGACCAAAAAATGAGAGGGCAAGGGTGGAGCAGCCCTACAGAGGAGAGGTGATAAACACACTTCATCGCCTTAACCATTTTGTGTGTGTGTGTGCCAAATACAGCTCTACTGAGGCCTCCAGTTCTCTTGCCTTTTTCCTGTAGCTTTTGGTCAAAAAAGTCAGCGACCTGGGGATGCATAACCAGGCATGGAGAAGAGCTCCACACACCAGCAGAGCCTGCTTTCGCTCAAAAGGGAGGAGCAGACTTGCTTAACCTTCATCTTCTCTTTTTCCCAGGACTCATCTGATGATGTGAGAAGAGTTCAGAGGAGGGAGAAAAATCGCATTGCTGCCCAGAAGAGCCGACAGAGGCAGACGCAGAAGGCCGACACCCTGCACTTGGTGAGTGTTCAGATCAATCTTCATCCTTATGAACTTCAGGCTTTGCCCTCCACCATACGGGAAGCCTTGGACCACAGCTTTGATTCTGCTTGTGTGGGGATGTGTATATGGGGCGGGTTAGTGGAGGGTGAGGGCTGTGGGGTGAGGTGGGGAAGGGAGGCTCTCCTGGGAGTGCTTCAAGAAGGTTCTGTAGGCCAGGCGTGGTGGTTCACACCTGTAATCCCAGCACTTTGGGAGGCCAAGGTGGAGTTCAAGACCAGCCTGGCCACCATAGTGAAACCCCAGCTCTACTACAAATACAAAAAATTAGCCAGGCATGGTGGTATGCACCTGTAATCCCAGCTATTTGGGAGGCTGAGGCAGGAGAATCACTTGAACCCAGGAGGCAGAGGTTGCAGTGAGCCAAGATTGCACCATTGCACTCCAGCCTGGCAACAAGAGAGAAATTCCATCTAAAAAAAAAAAAAAAAACAAAAAAAAAAAAAAACAAAAAAAAAAAAAAAAAAAAAAAAAAAAAAAAAAAAAAAAAAAAAAAAAAAAGTCCCTGCAGCAGGGAGTGGGTCAGGAGGCTGAACAGAGAAATGAACCTTTCTAACCCAGGAGGGCTCAAGGGGTAGGTAAGTTAAGTGTGGGAAGCCCAGAGGCTGAGCTGAAGGCAGAATCACTGGCTCAGGGATGGGGCAGCCAGAGAGTGCCCCATCCTTCATGAGGCATTGGGAGGAGAAGACAGAGCTGTGTTGAAAGGAATTTAGAAGGGCAGTCCGTTATCTCGCAGTGCAAGGACCACACGTAGTCCCATCTCTTGCCAGTCATCAAATAGTCCTGCGTTTGACACAGGGAGGTCCACAGGGCACTGCCCCTGATTCTTTTCTTCAGAGCACTGTTGAAGTCTTATTTTGAAATTTCTGTCTTTGAAATCATCCCAAGGGATCTGTGAAAGATGCAATTTCAAGTGAACTTGTCTGGGATGATCGCCGTCCTGGTTGAGTTGCCTCTAGCCCAAATTTTTCTAGAGAAAGCCTTGACCTCTGGCTTGAGCGACCCAGGGGCCTTGAGCGGTGCTGAATTGCAGTTCCACCAGTGGCCCAAGGCCCCAGATGGTGTTTCTAGGTTCTGGCTGTGCCCCTCATAAAGTACTGCTTCCTCCTCATTGCTCATGCTTTACCACCTTACCTCCCTTCACTCTGTCCCCAGTTTGGTTCTTGTTCAGCCAACTCTTCACTAGTTCCTTTCTCTCCCTCTCCTCATCCCCTTCCATAGCAACTCTAGCTTCATGCCCTTCCTTCAGAAACATTTCCATATCTCTAATAGGCTAGCCATTCCTTTCAGTGGAAAGAGTGCAATTGGCACCAAAAATGAATAAGCTTGTATTTATTTGGAAGATTATCATGATCATCAGCCAGTTAGAATGGCTGTGTTAACCCTATCAAGAAGTAAGACGTAGTTTTAGAAGAACTAATGCATCTTTTAGCTTTATAAGGAAACAGAGCAGACTGCACCAACAGCTCTGATTGGGTGCTTGGGTTTTATTAGAAATGTATTCAGCATATCCTCCATTGCACACTAACATAATTTAAGTTCACAATTATCTGTTAACTTTTTGGAAAGAATGAATGAACCACAAGCCTGTACCAACCATTCTCCACAGTCTGCATGCCAAGTTGTTGGTGACCCTGCTGCTTGTATGTGCTCTGCGATTTCAATGTGTCCCCACATTCTGGTTTTCCATCTCAAGGTTGAACATCTGTGATCCTTCCCTCTTTCTCTATCAGAGTCTGATTCCGATTCAGTATTCTTTAGAGCAAGCAAATGATCAATCAAAACTTAAAAGGATGAAATCTTCCTTTTGTACAAGTAGACAATGTCCTGAGGCTGGCAAACTGCCGTAAACTTTGTACGTGTGTGTTCATTTTCTTCAGTGGAAAGTACGTATAGTTCAGCAGCTCAGCAGTCAGAACAGGGATTGAATCCCAGCCCTGCTGCCTACTGTCTGTGTGTTGGAGACATTCTTGGCCGCCCTTGGGCATGGTTTCCTTATGTAGAAAACAGAAAATGATGATCACTACCCCATGCAGATCACTTAAAGAGCCCAGCACAGTGCCTGGCATTCATAAATACTCAAAATGTTAAGTATAATAAGAGTAATAATAATTATTATAAGAAGCAAGATAATCACAAATTATACACACATACACATTATATATATATATAAACATGTATACATTTGATATATATTTAATGACAGAAGCTCAGAGTTGGAAGGTTTCTTAAAGGCTAGCAAGTTCAGACATACGTTTGATGCTTCAGACTTCTCTGCAACACCTCCAGCCAATGGTCCCTCCACCACTGTGTGCCTGGCAACTTCTAGGGCTGGAGATCTTCCTCTCCTAATATATGAACAGAAGGGTCTTCCCTATGTTAATCTGCACCCCTGCCTCCCTGTAAATTCAACTCACTAGTCTTTGTCCAGTCCCTCGGGGACATATTAATGAGGGTGACATACATGTCTCTTTGCCACAGCAGGTCTTTCAGCTCTGACTCAGCTCTCTCCCCCTTCAGGACAAATGTCAGAACCCAAAGATTCAGCTCATCTAATTACACTAGTCATGTGACATTAGGATATTCTTTATAGCTTGAGTGTCCACAGAGCCCCCAGTCATGTAGTCAACATGTCCATAGCCACACCCCAGCCTCAGGCTCTAGAATGTTCCCAGCTTCCTCACATCTGAACACACATTCCTCCCCCACTGCTTTCTGTTGAGCACGGTGAGTGGATCACAGCAGGGTTGACGCAGCAAGCCCGTGGACTGCTGCCAATGCAACTTCTGTTTCTTGGCTTCAGGTAGAAGCTTTTGGCAGCAATGTGTTCAATCTGCACCCATCAAATAGGACGTTTAGCTGTGGTTTCAAGTCTTCCTTTTCTCTGAGATGATAATCACCCATCCTCTCCATCCATTATTCTCTTATGTCTGAGATTCAGGTGAAAAGTCTTCCGGTTTACCACCAGGGTCTCAGGGCTCAGTGCGTGGTTTGCCCCGAATCCTTTCCACGCTTAGCTCCACATGCTGGGGTTGTTCTATGCCCTTCAGACACAGCCATAGGACTCCCCTATCGGGGCTTTACAGACAAGGGTTTGGGAGCCACTGAGAGTACCATATCAAACAAGGACCACGTTCGTATTAGGGTTCTAGCCTCATCTATATTGGGACTTTTTAAAGTTTCAACTGCTGTCACTATTATCAATCTTAAAATACTGAAGCAATTATCTTGTTCCTCTCCTGAGAGTATGGGATGCTTACTATTCAACATTTTCAGTATCTATCCCATTAATGTCTGACACCGAGACACTGTACATTGATTGCTTTAAAAATTAAGAGCAGGGAGAGAGCCTTTTTTTTATGATTGTGTATAAATCCCTTGCCTTGACCACCTCTGGTGTAAAATGGATCAGATGATTCCTTTCATAATTGTGACATCGACTAACAATCTAATTCTGTTTGTATTTTCCTTTTGTTGTGCATCTCACACGAAAGCACCGATCACACTTAGTTACTTTTCTCCCACAGACAACTATAGGGTTAATTACATATAGTACAGACATTGATTAAAAATGAGAAAGGCATAACCTGACCAGTTAGTTTCTAAAAGATATCAATAGCTAATAAGCAGATCTAAGATAGTCAGCTGAAAAATTATCTGAAATAGTAAGAGAATGCAGCTTCTAAAGTTAAAACAAAATGTAATAAGGTTCCTTTATGCAAAACATAACCAATTAGGAAATTAATGGAAGGAAAGGTCCCATTTATAATACCAATGACAGCAACAAATAGAAGGGAGGAATAATTTAATAAAACATATGAGGAGGATCCTAAATGATTTTTAAAAGATTCAAATAATTGGAAAGACATACCTTATGTCAAGTTAGCAATTTTCCTTAATTGATAAATTTAATGTGATCCCAGTAAAAACCCAATAGGTTTTCTGGGAGTTGGGCAAGAACTAGATTAGCTATTCTAAGTTTCCAGTGAAAAAGAATCACATGGCAATTGCCAGGAAAGTTCTAAAGAAGCATAATGAAAGATTAACTGACCAACATATTAAAGTGAAACACAAATACAGAAATCAAAACAATGTGGAAAAGACAGAACATTGAACAGGATAGTATACGGAAACAGACCCAAAAACAAATTCAGATTTCAAGACCCAAATACATATTTCAGCTGCTAAGACACCAAGTATAAATACAAAATGGGCTGGGTGGGGTGGCTCACACCTGTAGTTTCAGCACTTTCAGAGGCCAAGGCAGGCAGATCACTTGAGGTCAGAAGTTCAAGACCAGCCTGGCCAACATGGCACAACCCTGTCTCTACTAAAAAAATTACAAAAATTAGCCAGGCATGGTGGCAGACACCTGTAATTCCAGCTACTCCAGAGGCTGAGGCAAGAGAATCACTTGAACCCGGGAGGCGGAGGTTGAAGTGAGCCGAGATCGTGCCACTGCACTCCAGCCTGGGTGACAGAGCAAGGCTCTGTCTCAATATAAATAAATAAATACAAAATGACCAGGATGGTATTTCAAACCAATGAAAGAAAGATGAATTACTCAACAGAGTTGAGACAATTGGCTAGTCACTTGGGGGAGGAAAAAAAAAAAAGCTTAATCCTTCATTTCTTATACAACACACACACAGATTAAATGTTAAATTTCTTTAAAAAAAGGAAGCTTAAAAAACTTGAAAAGGCAAATGAGCATTAAAAAATTTTTCTTGGAAAGGAGAATTATTTTCTAAATAAAACATAAAACCTTGAAGCCATAAAGGAAAAGACAGATATACATTACTTTTATTCATAAAAAGTAAACCTTTCTATGTAGATCAAAATACTATATGCACAATCAAAGGCAAATGACAAACTGAGGAAAAATATCTGTAACACCTATGACCAAAAAAGGTATGTTTACCTACTGTATCAGAGCGCTCTTATGAATAGGAAATGATTAGCAACCCAAAAGAAAAATGAACGATGACTATGAATAGGCAATTTACAGAAAAGAGAAATAAATGGCAAATAAATGTGTGAAAAGATAGTAGACCTTCTTTAGTTAGGAAAATGCCAATTAAAGCAGCAGTGAGATTGGCAAAGATGAAAAATGTTGTCAATACGATGTTGCCAAGGCAGTGGAGAAGCAGGCACCAGCACACACAGCTGGTAGTCGAGCCTGCATTACCTCGGTGGAGGGCAATTTGCCCACATCCATCCAAATTACAGGTGCACATAGCCCTCGACTCAGTAATTTGATATCCTGGAGTGTACTCACAAAGAAACCCACAGACCATACAATTCTGTACATGTAAAGATAATCATTGCTGCATTGTTTCTTATAGGACAGACTGAACACAAGCTAAAAAAAAATCCATCAATAAGGGATTCAGTAAATTATTGTCCATTCAGTGGAATATTGTAGAGATGTTAAAATAATGAGTTAAATCAGAATGTGCTAATCTGGAAAGGTTATCAAGTTTCTGTACTTTTAAGTTAAAAAGGTATAAATATAGCCCATAGTTTGCTCCCATTTGTTTTTTGTTTTTTTTAATTTAATGATTTTTATTTATATTTATTTATTTATTTTTAGAGACGGGGGTCTTGCTATGTTGCCTAGGCTGGTCTTGAACTCCTGAGCTCAAACAATCTGCCCGCCTTGGCCTCCCAAAATGCTGGGACTGCAGGCATGAGCCACAGTGCCTGGCCCTTGTGTTTTCAATAAAAAGAAAAAGGTACATATATGCATAATTACAAATGCAAACATTTTCAAATAGATTATTTTAAAAATTATTAATGATATTTATTTCTGAAAAGTAGGACTAAAGATCTATAGCAAGAGGGAGATATTTTGTATTCTTTACCTTTTATACAGTTTAGGGTTTTTTATTACATGCTTTTATCTTTATAATATAGATATCAAAATTCTCAGCATTGATCATAACCACACATGTGTCAGATGATTTATTTTCTAATTTTGACATCAAACGTTGAATAATCGTCCATCGTGACATGAAGAGTATTCAATCTTGACGTTTTCTTTTGAGCAACATACGTAAATATCTCAGTCTTTGGGAGAACCAGCTGTAGGTTGGGATTTGAGTGATCCTCAGGTCCACAGTACTGTATGATAAAAGATGGCAAATCCATTTCCTTTGTGTAGACATCCTGGTTGGTTGGTAGTGGCTCTCTAGTGTTGCACAGCTGGAAGGATTTCAAGTCAAAGACCAGGATCAGTGGAAAAGAGAGCCGAGGTCAATTAAGAAACTCTGTTCATGAAAAGGCTAAAATTAGCAGAGTTGCCAGGAGCAGTGGCGAACAGCAGTGTTAGCTCTGAGCAAGCTGCTGACAAGTCAGTGCTGGCCTTGAGGATGGAGCTGAAGGCAAGTGAGAGTAACCACCAAGTTAGAAAGCTGGAGATTTAGGTATTCTCTTAGGTGGAAGTGGGCCAGGTGCTTGCCTGGGGCTGCCTCCTGAAGGAGTCTCACATTAGTTTAAGAAAAAAAGAGAGGTCTACAGTTTCCAGGGATGTGCTTTGTCATATATGACTGAAAAATCATGAGTATAAATTATGCATTAAATGAAGCCTTGAGCTAACACTGTGAGAAATACGGTATTTACAATTGGAGGAACATTGAGTAACAGAGGAAAAGAAACTCGGCAAAGATGTTAGACCCTACGGGGCTCCTTAGGGTAGCACTATTGTTCTTGGCCTTCGCCTAAGAGAAAAGGATGCTTATGTTCCTACTTTACTCCTGGAATTCTTTTGCTGTCTCTGGGAGACCATGCCATAATGTTTGTTGGCACAGAGAAGTCATAGGTCAATGAAACACTAAAAGGAATGTTCAGGCTAGTTCCACCTTAAAAGTTCAATGTAGACTCAGTGGACCATTTATGAGATGTGACCCTGTCTCCATTGCTATGAATTTCTTTTTAAAAAACATGTTAATTGAACACATCACTATGTATTAACCACTGTGCCTAAGTGCCCTCCCTGCAGTGTCACATTTAATGTGCATAAAAACCGTATTTTATAATTCCTTGCAATGAGTAACTTGATTGGGGTGACACAGCTTGTGACTAGGTCTGTCTGACTTCAGAACCCATTTTCCTAACCACGAGTTTTTCCTAACCTTAAGTTTTACTGCCTCATTTTTCAAACCCGGATAAAGATGTGTTCGTCTTCCCTAACCTATATTTTCCTTGAATCTCTTCATGAATTTATTTTTTTTTGTTTTTTAAGCAACATCTTCCAAAATCTGCACTATCCCCCAGTCATCATCAGGCCTGGTAAAGAAAGTAAAGACATGTTTATTTTCAATACATATGTCAATTTTACAATTGATATCATATATATCATGATATATACAGCTAGATACAATTATATATATACCGTGTATATATACAATTATATATACACGGTATATATAGACAGATACAATTGGTATATCAAATGATACAATATATCAATTGAAATCTTTTTTGAGAAGGCTGTGTAGCAATAAATGTTAACATCTTTTACAGGAATTACCTTTGACACAACAGAGTTTGAAGAAAAATAATTTACAAAGTTGTAAATTTTGTAATATTCACCATTATCTGTGAATAGTAAATACTTTATCAATGCCAGGTGGATCACGAGGTCAAGAGATCGAGACCATCCTGGTCAACATGGTGAAACCCCGTCTCTACTAAAAATACAAAACATTAGCTGGGCATGGTGGCGCGTGCCTGTAATCCCAGCTACTCAGGAGGCTGAGGCAGGAGAATTGCCTGAACCCAGGAGGCGGAGGTTGCGGTGAGCCGAGATCGCGCCATTGCACTCCAGCCTGGGTAACAAGAGCGAAACTCCGTCTAAAAAAAAAAAAAAAAAACTGGACAGGTGGCTTACAACAAAAGACGAGCATATTATGATACATTCATACAATAAAAAATTTATGCTCGTACTTTAAATGACTACTTAGCTTTGTATTTATCAACATAGAAAGACGTCAGTAATATAGCATTAAGTGAAGAAGGCAAATTACAAACAGCATGCAGAGTATAATCCTTTAATGCAAAATTTGTGGGTTTGGGTCATGGTTGCATGCATAAAGAGATGTCTGGGAGGACATTCTCCAAAATGTTAATAGCAATTATGAGTAGTTGAGTTTAGGCAGTTCATCTTATTCTTGGTACTTTTGTTTTTCCTTATTATGATAAATAAAGAAATATGTTCCATTTTAAAAATCAGAATTTAAAAAATTCGGCTATTTTCATTTGGGGAGGGAAAACACGTCAAGGCAATCCACCACCCCCCACGGCTTGTCTTATCGATGATGGGTTGGTGTGGCTACATTTGGGAGGCATATTGGAAATTAGAAGTCCAGCTCCACGCTGGTCTTGATGCTATAAAGAATGATTGTCTAAATAGGATGATAGTCCCAGGTCACAAACTGACAGCTGCCTGTTCAGCAGATGTCTTCATGGAGCTATTCTCAGCAGGACCCAGACTTCCTTCTCCTGAGCAGAATAGGAGAGTTTCCCCAGAGTGCCCCTGCCCAAGTTTCTCAGGGGTTTTCTAAGTCTCCTCTGTTGGACTTAGTCCAGTTCCCTGCTTCCTAGAAGGGGTAGGTTGGGTTCACAGTACAAAGGCCCCTTCACATTGCAGGGTATCTGCAGAGGTTTTCACCACGGGTCCCCGTGATGGCTGTGGAGGGAATAACAATGATAATAGTCCTACTACCTTTTAAAATTGCAGAGTTAAACTGCAGAATTAAATGGGAACTCGGAGATCTTCTAGGGCGACCTACCGTGCTTCCAACGAGGAAACTAATGACACCCAAGAACCCAAACCTCTTGCCTTCCCACCAGTCTGCTTTTGTTTCATGCCACTTTCCTGAACAGAGCTTTGCTAGGCAGGTGTTTGCATAAGGCCTTTTGCAAAGGTGGGCCAAGAAGCAGGCCATTAACCAGAACACTTGAACAGCCCCGACAATCATCAGCTCCAGAACATACGACTATACAACAAGGGACCAGAAAGAGAGTGAGTGCAAGCCTGACAGGGGCCGAAGTGAAATGTTTCTTTGTTTAAAAAAAATTTTAAATTTGCAACCCAAAATTAGAAAGGCCAATGACATATTGGGGAAAATATTTGCATCAAATTAAATAAATGAAGGTTTAATATTTATGCTACAGAAAGAAAATCTTTTTTTTTTTTTTTTTTTAAGAAAGAGTCTTGCTCTGTCACCCAGGCTGGAGTGCAGTGGTGCCATCTCGGCTCACTGCAACCTCCACCTCCCAGGTTCAAGCAATTCTCCTGCCTCAGTCTCCCGAGCAGCTGGGACTACAGATGCATGCCACCACACCCAACTAATTTTTTGTATTTTTAGTAGAGACAAGGTTTCACCATATTGGCCAGGCTGGTCTCAAACTCCTGACCTCATGACGCACCTGCCTCAGCCTCCCAAAGTGAGCCACCGCACCTGGCCAGAAAGAAAATCTTATAAAGCAAAACATCAAGACACCAATAGACAAGTGGGCAGAGGCTATGAGCAGAAAGCTTACATAATATTTTTCCTACTAAAATGAAAATACCCTAATTTCCTATTCTGATTATGAAAACGATACACACCAAGGCAGGGTTTCTTAACCCCAGTGCTATCGACACTGAGTCTGATAATTCTTTGTTGTTTGGGGTTGTCCTGTGTCTTGTAAAATGTAAAATTTACCCACGAAAGCCAGTAGGGCACTCCTCACCCTGCTTAGCTGTGACAACCAAAAATATTTCCAGAACTTGTCAAATGTCCCTGGAAAGGCAAAAATCAGTCCTAGTTGAGAATGCTACACTACAGAGAAAGACACATGGAAAGCTGTTCTTCCTCCTTAATGCTCTCCAGCTTCTAACAGTAACATGAAATTAAGAAGCCTTCATAAAGCTAATTGGCAACAACTAAATTATTTAAAATTATGACACCTAAATGTCGGTAAGGTTGTAGGAAAATGGATAGAAGCATTCACGACTGGTGACATTATATATTTGACATGACCTTTTTTCAGTAATACTTATCAGGACTGGAAAGACTGGCTGCCTCCTTGGCCTCATTCATCTTGTTCCTAAGAGTTTATCCTAGAAAATCACTGAACAGAGACAAAACCCAGTGCGCATCAAGATATTCATCTCAGCATTATTTTTAATAGTGACAATTTGATAGCAACCAGGATGTCCAACATTAGAAGACCACTTTAAGTAAATTGATGATGTAGTCATTAAAAATTATGTTTACGTAGATGTGATAAAGTTAGGACAAAAAGCAAAATATAAATTGTATGTGTACTATGATTGAGATTTCATAAAAATAATGTATGCATGTTTGTTGAAAAGGGTAGGATGGCTCATGCCTGTAATCCCAACCCTCAGGGAGGCCAAGGCAGGAGGATGACTTAAGACCAGGCTGGGCAACATAGTGAGATCCTGTCTTTACAAAAATAAAAATAAAAAATTAGCCAGGCATGGTGGCTTGCACCCAGCTACTCTGGAGGCTAAGGTGGGAGGATCGCTTGAGCCCAGGAGGTCAAGGCTGCAGTGAGCCCTGATTACATCACTGCGCTCCAACCTGGGTGATAGAGTGAGACCCTATCTCAAAAAAAAAAAAAAAAAAAAAAAAGGATGAGATTGCAGTATGTCTAAATGAAAACAGTTGTGTTAGGGAACTGGACTGTTTTTAACTTTCAAAAAATATTTTGGCCAGGCGCAGTGGCTCACACCTATAATTCCAGCACCTTGGGAGGCTGAGGCGGGCGGATTACAAGGTCAGGAGTTCAAGACCAGCCGGACCAACATGGCAAAAACCCATCTCTACAAAAATACAAAAATTAGCCAGGCATGGTGGCGCGCACCTGTAATCCCAGCTACTCAGGAGGCTGAGGCAGGAGAATCACCTGAACCCAGAAGGCTGCAGTGAGCTGAGATCACGCCACTGCCCTCTAGCCTGGGGGACACAGCAAGACTCCATCTCAAAAAAAAAAAAAAAAAAAGATCTTTAATGTAGTTATACTGCATTGTTTTTATTTTTAAAGAAACAGAAGAAAATGGCCAAATGGAGAGCTATAGGAACTCTAGAGGACATCAGGGACAAGGACAGAGGATATTATTGAGCTGGAATTTGGGAATCAGGTTTTGGTAGGAGATCTTAAAAATTATACTCCAAACAGGAATACTTTGAGAGTGGAAGGTGAAACTCGTAAATGTTACACCAGGACAACAGGTGTCCGAGTAAATATCTGGTCACCGTAGACAAGGAAACCAAGAAAGATGACGTGGAGTTCTTATGAAAACTCAGAAAAAAACGATAAAGTTCAGAGTCAAGCAGAGGGAACTGGATTCCTATGACCAAAATGCAATTTCCTGCAACTGAAGACCCTATAACTAAAATAGGGTACTTAGCTGGCATAAGAACACGTCTTATCATTAAGAGAGCAGGATGACACAAAAAATTATACAAGCAAAAGCCATATTATCAGTACTAGTGCTGAGATTAGCAGAAATGATTCATCTACTCAACAAATATTTATCAGCCAGGTACAGTTTGTCCTAGGCACTGGGACTATCACAGGGACAGGACATACCGAGTCCCAGATTTCATGAACCTTACAGTCAGTTGGAAGTCGGACTGGAAAACAGACAAATCAACACACTAATCACATGACAGGTTTAAAGAAGACAAAGTAATAATAATAATAATAAGACGAAATCATGCAATGTGGAAAGTGTCTAAGGGAGGGGATTGGGGCAGTGAAGGGGGAGGCCTTCCTGAGGCTCTGGCATTTGAGATCAAAGGTAAATCAAAGAGGAGACTGGAAAGATCTGGGGAGAGGGTGATGGCAGCAAAGAGCCTTGAGGCCAAGCTGGTAGGGTGGAGACCAAGTTCAAGACCATGAGGGAGTGAGGAAGAGCTCAGGAATAAAGGCAATCGTGGGGCTGGCACAGTGACTCACACCTGTAATCCCAGCACTTTGGGAGGCCAAGGTGGGTGAATCATTTGAGGCCAGGAGTTCGAGACCAGCCGGAGCAATATAGTGAAAACCCATCTCTACAAAAATCTGTTTAAAAAAATAGCCACGCATGGTGGCACACACCTGTCGTCCCAGCTACGTGGGAGGCTGAGGCAGGAGGCTTGCTTGAGCCCAAGAGGTCGAGGTTGCAGTGAGTTGTGATAGCACCACTGCACTCCAGCCTGGGCAGCAGGGCAAGACCCTGTCTTTAAAAATAAAAATAAAATAAAATAAAGGCAATTGTGCTCCTGGGAGCAGGAACCGGATGGGGCATGTGGTGGGGGCCCAGCTAATTCAAACCCTGCCTGGGGGGATTTCTCTGAACCTAAACTCTGATCAAGTTAAGAAGCAATTGCACCTCACTGGGCTGTTTGACAGTTTAATTGAGAGGGCAAATGTAAGAACAATGCAATATTGTCAGTTTTTGTTTTACACTGTTCCTTTGTTTAATGCAGAGAGTCTGGCCTTTTCCTAGAAATCAACCAGATATTTCATCCCACACGAAAACATACATCCTTCTTTCTGGTTGGTTATAAACACTTTCAGGATATCAGCAGTTTCGGGGGCTTGGCCTTTCACAAGTGGTCAAGTCTCCTTTGTTGGGTATGAATGGGGAGGGTCAAATTTGAACTAGGGAAGCGACATGACAGAGTTCTTGAAGTGGTTGTAATTCTGCTACTCCCACCCTATTGGTTCAGTTTGGGGAATAAACAGAGGTTTCACCTAGGCCTTTTGAAAAAATGAATCTCCTTGATTCATTTGGAAATATCCCAGAGTTACAAAGTAGAAGCTATTTAGGTGTACAAGTGGTGCACTAATCACTCTCTAGGAATTCTCATGGACATCACAAATGTACTCAGTCGGCCCTTCTTCATAGGCACATCTGAGATTTAATAATCTGGTAAATTATTCCAGATTATAAGTTGGCAATCAAGCAACGTGATTTGATTGCACTTACTATGTGCCAGGCACTGTCCTTGTTACTGAGGACAAAACAGTGAAGACAGTAATAGCCCCTGCCTTCTTGGAGCTCAACAACGGAAAGGGTAAGGTAATGAATTTATAATATTCATTATAAATTTACCCCTTGGTAAATTTATAATGAATGAAGTACGAGTAGATCCCGAGCTCTTGCCTTTCCATTGTATGAATGAACTGTGCTGAGCTATTTAGAATTGTTTTCACCAATTTAAGAATATAATAGGGGAGCCTGAGGGAGAAAAAATAAATAAAAAAATAAAAGAATATAATAGTAGTGTGCTTAAATGGATATTCTGCTTCAGAAATTGTTTTAAATTGAGAAATGGTCTCCCAACTCTAAATTTTTAAATATTATTTATACTATAAATGATAAAATTTTTAAATGTATTTAAGAAAATGAAAATATGCAAATATATAACACAAATTTAATGAAATCAGACACTACACAGTTATATTATTTTTATCATAATTTTGAGACAGGGTTTCACTCATTTCCCAGGCTGGAGTTCAGTGGTGCAATCATGGCTCACTGCAGCCTCCATCTCCAAGGCTCAAAGGATCCTCCCACCTTGGCCTCCCAAATAGCTGGGACTACAGGTGTGTGCCACTATGCCTGGCTAATTTTAAATTTTTTTGTAGAGGTCTCACTATGTTGCCCAGGCCTCAAACTTCTGAGTTCAAATGACCCTCCCGACAAAGGGGCCTCCCAAAGTGCTAGGATGACAGCAACTGCACCTGACCTAATATTATTTTTAAAAGGAATCCGCTACGAACATGATTTGCAACTTGGCTGCACATTAGGCTCACTTGGAAAGTATTTTTAAAGTCTTGATGTCTGCAACCACTCCAGAACAATTAGATTGGAACCTCTGGGAGGTTGGCATCCAGGAATTCAGACTGTTTAAGGCTCTCCAGGTGCTGGCAGTGTGCACAGCCAGGGTTGAGAATCAGGGGCAGTGCATTACAGCCTATCAGGTCTGTACCTGAGCGTGTGGAGTGAGCAGCATTTGTGGAGTGAGTGTGGGGTGATCATGTGCGTAAGTACCCAGATACTCTAGGTCAGAGACAGTGGCCTGCTGGCTTAAACAAAACAAACTATTCAAACCCTTGCTTTGATGGCAGTTATTATTTGTTTTGTTGTTTGGTTTTGAAAACTGGGCTTGCTAGTGGTCACCTTTGTAACTGGAAGCATCCGTATTAGCCAAGATTGCATGCATTCAGTGGCAAGTAATAGACCAGCCATCAAACAGAGGTGTCAACAAATCACCGCCAACTTTTCTCATATAACAAGAAGTTCAAAAGTGGAGAGATCAGGCTAGAGCAAGGAAGAACCAAGCTCCTTCTCCCTGAGCATCCTTAGTATGAGGCTTTCATCCCGTAGGCTATGAGATGGGTGCCGAGCCTCTGGGCATCCGTCTCTGTTGAGGGAAGGGGGCCTTTCTCCTCATGAGCAGGCTGTGCCTTTTCAGTAGGAAGGGAAGCTCTGCCTCCACCTCCCACCCACCAGGTACTTCTGCTTACGTCTCTTTGGTAAGAATTCCCCTAGCTTCAAGGTAAGCTGAATTTTTTTTTTTAAGCAATTCTGTTCCCACTCTTTCCAGAGGAAGGCAAGGGAGAAGGAGTTTGGGGTGGATGCGGATTGAACCAACTTATAGTCTTCTCATATTTGAGGACAATGTAATCGTAGTCTTGAAAACCAAGGACCAGAGGACAGCCTTTTAACCCTGTGACTAGATAGGGCCCTGAGGGCATGGCTGATGTGGACAAACATCTGCTCGTGACAAAGGTGCTCGTGGCCCTAGAGCTTCAGCTCTAAGACATGAAACTGAAGGTTCCTCCAGAATCAGACACGCGCATTGTTCAGCGCAAAGATCTGTAGTTTGGTGATTCCTCCTCTCCCTTGACAAGGTGAGGGGCAGCAGTTGGGGTGAACTTCCCAGGAATAGTGGGAGATGTGGGCCTGGATCCTCCCACTGCTTGGGAAGGGGCAGACTTTTCAGTGGGAAGCCTTCTCCAGGAATGGGGGCTCCACCCTCTGCATGTGACGTACAGGGGCTGGCAACCGATGGAGCCTGAACATGTATCTGGGTGTGAGGAATAAGCTTCAAATGCCACTTAAGTGTGGGTGGGAGCCAAAAGGTCACCCTACCAATAAATGACTACGTGTCCTATTGAGGAGAAAACACACAGGGACTATTTTCACCCTTCTGGAAATGTGAACAGAAAATGCAAGGAGAAGGTCAAGAGGTCCAAGGTCACTAAACTGGAACTGGCAGGGAGGAAGCCTCAACGCCACTCAGAGTGCCCGGAGAGTCCCTGCCAGATCCCCGGGGCAGAGTCCAGCTAGGAAATGCCAGCCTGTCCTTGGTCTTTGTCCCAAATGGCTCCCCACGGGTAAGGGAACTGCCTGGGGATTCCCCGTCGTTGAAGAGTTCTTTGAGTGACCCCCTCCTAAGCCCCTCCAGTAGGGGATTTCCCAGAATGCTCCCACGCCCCCATGAAGCCTCTTCCTTAGCCACCCCCAAGCTGCTTGTGGTTCGCGATACAGGTAGGTGGCATCAAGTGACCCCACAGGTGAGGGATTTGCCTGAGGTGGGAAAAGAGGGAAGATGAAATTGGAAAGCCAATTGGGCTGAGGAGTTACCTCACAGGAGATAACTGTCAAACAGTGTAACGTTTAAACAGACTTTAAAGGCAAGAGAGGATGGAGGGCACAGACTCTGAAGCCCGAGTGCCTCAATTCAAGTACTGCACGCTGCAACTTCCAAGCTGTGTGATCTTGAGCCAGTTACTTAACGTCTCTGTTCCTCAGTTTTTCCTCTTCTGTAAAATGGAGATAATATTATCCACCACACAACCTTGTTGAAAATATCAAATATCAAATGTATTGATAAGCGTAAAATACTTAAAAGAATGATTGGCACATGGAATTATTTAGTAAATGTTAGTTATTGGCCAGGCATGGATGTCTCACGCCTGTAATCCCAGTACTTTAGGAGGCTGAGGCAGGCAGATCACTTGAGGTCAGAAGTTCAAAACCAGCCTGGCCAACATGATGAAACCCTGTCTCTACTAGAAATACAGAAAAATTAGCCGAGCATGGTGGCAAGCACCTGCAACCCCGGCTACTTGGGAGGCTGAGGCAGGGAGAATCCCTTGAACCAGGGAGCAGAGGTTGCAGTGAGATGAGATAGCACGACTGCACTCCCAGCCTGGGCAACAGAGAGAGAATCTGTCTCAATAAATAAATAAGTGTTAGTTAAGTCACGCTAAGCTATTTTTTTTTTTTTAATATTTGGTTTCTATCCATCTTTCTCATAAAGTTGAACCTAGTTTTACCTCAGACCTATTAAATCAGAATCGGTCACCAGGATTGGATCCCAGCGTGTGCATGAGGTTGCGAATCATTGTTTTGGTCCAGTCCTTCCGTTTTAAAGTGAGGCAACTGAGACTCAATAGGGAAATCGAGTCACTGAGGGTCATACAGCCAGGACCAGGGCCCAAGCTCCCTGTTCCCGTTTACCACTGATGGAGCTCACCGTGGTCATGAGTTCAGGACCTGGCTCTGCATCTGGAGGAAGATCTGGCCTCAAGTCAGCCCTCGTCCAGAGTATCTGGCCAGGAGACCCCCTCTCCCTGCAGCCCAGGAGGCAGACGGTCAGCTCTGTGATTGGAAGAATGTGAGCAACTCAGGGTTCTTGTGTTGTGTGGTGTGTGGGTCACCAAAACCGAGATCCAACTTTCTCCTGAGAGACCACAGGGAAGCCAAGGACTTTTTTTTTTTTTTTTTTTTAGACAGAGTCGCTCTCGGTCACCCACATTGGAGTGCAATGGCGCGGTATCAGCTCACTGCAACCTCCTCCTCCCAGGTTCAGGCGACTCTCCTGCCTCAGCCTCTCAAGTAGCTGGGACTACAGACATATGCCACTATGCCTGGCTAATTTTTGTACTTTTCATAGAGATGGGGTTTCACCATGTTGGCCAGGCTGGTCTTGAACTCCTGTCCTCAAGTGATCCGCCTGCCTCAGCCTCCCAAAGTGCTGGGATTCTAGGTGTGAGCCACCGCGCCCGGCCAACTTTCTAGTGCCCTCGAGTGACCTTTGCCCACTCGAGTCTCCCTTCTCTCGGGGGAAGCAGTCAGTGTGAGAGAAGGACCCCAAGCCAAGCCCTGCTCTGCCCCTCCCTGGCAATGTGTCTTTGCATCAAACACTTAAAGTTTCTGAACTTCTGAGAAAACAGGTTTCTTGAGGTGAATCTTACAGCACAGCTGCCACCAGCCTGTGGTCATTGGGAGGGCATGTGGCATAGGTTTGTCCCAGGGTCTCAGTTGGCCTCATCTGTAGAGTGGGGATAATAATAGATTACCTTCCCTATCCCACTCAGAGGCTTACTGTGGGAGTCGGATAGACCGGGGTGAATTCTGAATGGGAGAAAGAAGGGTTAACACAGGCTCACTCCCGCCCCACTCTGCAGTAGCAGACATGCACAGTAGAAGCGACATTTCCACCCCTTCACTGTGCCCTAGGTGTCCAGCCCTCATTGTCAGGGGATGTCATTGTCATACCTCTGGATCAACAGCTGCTTCCATGCCACCTTTGACAATTGTGCCTTCAACTGAGAGAGCCCGTTCCAGGGCATAACTGCCCCAAGAAGGGCTAGAGTCAGCTGGGCAACAGCAGGTGGGGACATGGAGGGAAGAGGCCCCAGATCAGCCACTTCCTCCTGCGAGGGAAGTCAAACCCTGTCTCTCACCAGTGTCAGGCTGGCTGCACGGTCCCTGAGCTGGCAGGGCGGGTTTCTTGGGGGCCCTAGCAGGAAGCAGTCTTGCTTCCCAAGGTAAAGACAAGTTTCTTATCACTGGTGGTGGTTTTCTGGTTAGAGGCAGCAGGCAGCGGTTATGAACTTTGCCTAGAGCTCTGGGATCTGCAAGGGGAGGGGTGGGCAGACCAGAGGGCTGAGTGAGCTCAGCAGAGCTTGCTTAGGGAGGAAGGACCTGCTGTCACTTCCCGAAAGCTGGGCCAGCCTCTAGGCGGGGAGAAGGTCAGAGTGGCCCTCCCTTCTGCCTCGGGGTTTGCCCAGGTTCTTCAGAGCACAGAATTTACAGTAAATGTTGTCACCAGTGGAAACTCTCAGAGGGGGCGAAGAAACGGGCTAGAGGAAGAAGCCAGGACTCCCGGCCCCCAGTTCCCGTCTTACCAACACCCCCTAGTCTCATCGTGCTGCTTTATCTTACCTTTCGGTAAAGAGGGGATGCCCTCCTTCTGGGATGTGCCAGCAGGAAATACCCAAATGGTTAAATGAATGAACCGGCCACACCTTGCAGAAGGCAGGGCTGCAAACTCTATCACCATGGCTCTTAGTAACTCCCCTGCCCCGTTTTAAAGAGGCTTCCTTTGTAATTGACTTTAGCACATTTTCTAGCTGAGAGCCCCATTCAAGCAATGCCAGGCTGAGGCTGAGCATGCCTGTATCCATCCTTCACAGATGATGGAACCTGGCTTGATGAGCAAGGCCACGGTTGGTGTATGCTTCTCTGCCATTTAAAAAAGACCCACCCCCAGGATGTGGGGTGTAGGATGATTGGCAGTAAAACCGATAAACCTCATTAGCCCACAGCTCATGCCCCGGATGGATGCGTTAGGGTAAATTTTATTTTATTATTTTGTTTTATTTTTTGAGAGAGGATCTCACTCTGTCACCGAGGCTACAGTACAGTGGCATGATCATGGCTCACTGCAGCCTCCAACTCCTGGGGCTCCATGCCCAGCTAATTTTCTTATTTTTGTAGAGACTGGGTCTCAGTAATGTTGCCCAGGCTGGTCTTAAACTCCTGGGCTCTCAGCAGGCAGAGGCTGCAGTGAGCTGAGATCGAACCGCTGCCCTCCAGCCTGGGAGACAACGAGACTGTCTCAAAAACAACAACAGCGACAACAGAAAACTGCTGGGCTCAAGCGATCCTCTCACCTCAGCCTCCCAAAGTGCTGGGATTATAGGTGCAAGTCTCTGCACCCAGCCTATTTAGGGCAAATTTTAAATGTCAAGTTATCTCGCATCTGCTCACCACCTACATTTTTTAGTTACCTTCTTTGTGCCAGCAGATGATGTCATCAGTCTGTCAGTCAACAAACATCTGAGTCCATACTATGTGTCAGGCATTGAGCCAGGCATTAATAAATAGGCATTTAACAAGTGCTTGAATAATTAAAACAAATTTAAAATAATATTTAACTAGTGCTTTTCAACTCGCCTGATCATTAGAATGACCCGCGGCACTAGTTAAAACTTCACATGTCGCTCCCTGGTGGTCTAGTGGCTATAATTAAAATAATAAAATAATTTTTTTTTTTTAAATTCAGCTCTGCAGCCAGGTGCGGTGGCTCACGCCTGTAATCTCAGCACTTTGGGAGGCTGAGGTGGGCAGATCCTATGAGGTCAAGAGTTTGAGACTAGCCTGGCCAACATGTTAAAACCCCATCTCTACTAAAAATACAAAAATTAGCTGGGTGTGGTGGCACGTGCCTGTAATTCTAGCTACTTGGGAGACTGAGGCAGGAGAATCACTTGAACCCGAGAGGCAGAGGTTGCAGTGAACCAAGATCACAGTACTGCACTCCAGCCTGGGCAACAGGGTGAGACTCTGTTCTCAGAAAAAAAAAAAAAAAGAAAAATATCAATTCTGCAGACTTCACCCCCTAAATCCCAAAACCTTCCTAAAATCTGGGTGCAGCAGATTTTAGGAAGGGCCGGAAATTCCTTTCTTAACAAGCCTTCAAATTAATTTCTCGTGATACGGCAAGTTTGGGAAATACTGACCTAACCCAACTAGATCTAGAAAGGTAAGACCTGGTCTCTAAATATCTGGTTGCCTTTTGAACCAAAATGGTTTTTATTTGCATCTCCAATGTCATTTGCCTTTCCTCTGTGGGTGCCAATGCTTAGCAGAGAAAGTCTGTTTGATTAGGTCAAGTAATGTAAACCTTAAAATTATACTAGAATTGGGATCTCCTGGGCTTTCTGAAGATGGGATTGCTTTTCAGTAAATGCTAATTACCAGATTGCAATTGTTGATTAATTAATGATGTGATCAGAAATCAGCACCTCTTAGCAGGCATCTTCCTGATTAACATGTATTTGATGGTTCCCCAAAGCAACAGGGAAAAGAGTTTCCAGAAAAAGGAGAAGCTCACAGTCTTGGGATACACCCAGAGTACTGTCAGACTGCTCTCTGCTGGGCCAGGCAGGGTGGAACAGAATGTTGTGGCAGACTTTGACCATTTTGTATTTATTTATTTATTTATTTATTTGCTTTTTTTGAGATGGAGTCTCACTCTGTCCCTCAGGCCGGAGTGCAGTGGCACGATCTTGACTCACTGCAACCTCTGCCTCCCAGGTTCCAGCTATTCTCTTACCTCAGCCTCCCACATAGCTGGGATTACAAGCACCTGCCACCACACCTGGCTAATTTTTTTTTTTTTTTTTTAAGACACAGTTTAGCCATGTTGGCCAGGCTGATCTCGAACTCCTGATGTCAGGTGATCCACCTGCCTCGGCCTCCCAAAGTGCTAGGATTACAGGCATGAGCCACCCTGCCTGGCCCCATTTAATATTTATAAAGACCCTGAACATTCTAAAATCTGGGTGCAGCAGACGAGTATTCAGTGACTATATTTGTAAGACGAAATGCAGACCCCGGGAACATTTGGAGAACACACGGCATAACAGAGTAGGAAAGAGTAAAACTGGTGTAAGACATTCTCACGAACTACTTTCCAGTTCCTTAGGATCTGGCCCGCCAGCTGCTTTCTCTTGCTATATTCCTGCCACCCCCCACCCACAGACACCCCCACGGACATCCCTGCATACATGCACGCAGACGAGCACACTCACATGCACTCCTCTATCAGATTGAACCATATGAAATTGCTATTTTACAGGTCACAGCAGACAAATATCAGGAGCTTCACATGGTTCAGTCTCCTATCTACGTGTACACATGCACACCAACCCATGTGCTTATGTAAACACGCCCATACACACCTAAGAACACATATGCACTTGTGCACACATTCACATGTGCAGGAAAATTCTCTGACACCCTTCTCCATGGCTGTGCTAGTGAACGACGAATCTGGGCCGTCCTCCTGCATCCCTCCACTCCCCACCCACTTTGCCACCTTCCCTGACATTAATCTGTGGTTCTGATCCCTACAGGAGAGCGAAGACTTGGAGAAACAGAACGCGGCTCTGCGCAAGGAGATCAAGCAGCTTACGGAGGAACTGAAGTACTTCACGTCGGTGCTGAGCAGCCACGAGCCCCTGTGCTCGGTGCTGGCCGCCAGCACGCCCTCACCCCCCGAGGTGGTGTACAGCGCACACGCCTTCCACCAGCCTCACGTCAGCTCCCCGCGCTTCCAGCCCTGAGCTTCCGATGGGGGGAGAGCAGAGTCTCGGGAGGGACACACAGACTGTGGCAGTGCTGCACCCATCCCGCAGAGGCCCCTGTCCACCTGTAGACCCGGAGACAGAGGCCCGGACAAGGATCAAACACAGGGACTGTCATGACTGGAAGGGTGTGAGGCCTCCCAGCAGTGCCGCAGCATTTCGGGGAGCCTGTGCTGGACTCCACTCTAGGTTGGAGGCTCAATCCAGAAGAATATCAGGCAAGATGCCCAAGTCTCATGTCACAGAGCAAGGCGGGCAGGAAAGGGGTATTTTTCTAAATAAATGTTTTAAAATAAACCAGTAGTTTCCCTCTTTTACCTTGTCCCTTGACAGTCTAGATTGTGCCGTGTTGGACCTTCTTTGTTTTGGGCTCTAGTACCCTCAGAAAGCTCCAGGGACTCCACTAATAGCTCTGCTTTTCCGTGGTTTGTTGATCTATTTGGGAAGCTTTCAATTCCTTCCTTTAGATGTCTTCTTCCTCTTCTTCTCCTTCTTCCCCTTCCCCTTCCCCTTCTTCTCCTTCTCTTTCTCCTCCTCCTCCTTCTTCTTCCTCTTCTTCTTCTCCTCCTCCTCCTTCTTTCTCTTCCTCTTCCACTTCTTCAGAGTCTCTCAGCTCTGTTACCCAGGCTGGACTACAGTGGCACAATCTCCACTCACTGCAACCTCCAACTCCCAGGTTTCAAGAGACCCTCCTGCCTCAGCCTCCCTCGTAGCTGAGACTACAAACACACGCCACTACGCCTGGCTAATTTTTGTATTTTTAGTAGAGACAAGGTTTCGTCATGTTGGCCAGGCTGGTCTCGAACTCCTGACCTGAAGTGATCCGCCCGCCTGGGCCTCCCAAAGTGTTGGGATGACAGACGTGAGCCACCTCACCCGGCCTAGGTGTCTTCTGGATTGCCCTCCCGTGCTCCCCTCACTGTGACCTTCCACTTTCCATTCCTTACTGCTTTCTAGACCATAAGCGGGTCGTCCCCTAGTCTAGGAGAAGGCCCAGTGCAGGATGGCATCATCCGGTGAAGTGGCAAGTCAAGATGACCTTCCCTTCTCCCAATCATTTCTCTACTCACCCAGCCATCTGGCTCTGTCCAGACAGCCAAGTCCCTGGGTGCTGTGACCAGGTCCTGTGCCAGGCTGCACCTCACATGGAAGGCTGTGCCCTCCTCATGCTCTCAAGGGGCAACATGCAGCTTGGGTCCACAGGGACTTCTCTGCCAGTGGCCTGCGTGTCCTGCTGGAGACTCCACCTCCCTTAGAAGGCAGTGACATGGAGCACAGGACTCCACAGGCTGCCATTTGAGCACTGAGTGCAACACATGGCTCAGGGAACACAGAGTCATCTTCAGTTTGACAGAGCCTGAAACTAGCATGCTCTACCCTGCTGTGCCTCAGAGATCCCCAGGCTGAGTGACCGCTGGCCTCCCTGACACAGCCTTACCCACACCACCGCCCACAAGCAATGGGTGCTGCAGGGCCTGGCCACGCACAGCTCCTGCTGAGCCAGCTGGGGACAAAAACCACAGGGATCACTGTGCCAGGTGCCTGCCTGCCTGATTGAGCTCCTTCAGCCACCACCCTCAGTCTCATCCATTTGTCCTTCAGAGGGACAGCCTCTGCCTGCTGCCTCCCCAGTGGCAGCCCTCATGGGGTGACAGGAGAGGGGAAGAGAAGGCCCACTTCCCTGTGTCAGTGCCCTCTGAACCCACTGGCCAACCACTCTGGCTGGTTTGAGGCCAAGTTTCAACACTAGACCTCCCCTGTGCAGACAGCCCCTCTCAGATGATGCCAGTGTTAGGCTGTTGTGATGATTAAAATCCATAGAATTTGGAAGAGCTACATTCCAGCAGATGGTGGAGTCACAGCCCCTTGGGAGGAGCCCAATCAACAGCCTCTGACAGCACATTGCAATCTTTGGGGCTCTCACCAGTGAAGCTGGTGCCCATGGATGCCTAGGGTGTGGACACTGGGCTGAGCCCCATAATTCAGAGCCTGGGAAGACAGCACCGAAGGCCTTCCCTGAATGCTGGCATTTCTCCCAGCGCAAAAACTTGCAGTGTAACCTTTGGTCTCCCAGCGAAACTTGGCAAAAGAGGATCCCCTTTCAGTGCAGAGCCTCCATGTCGGCTGGGCAGATATGTCATGAGGAGGAGCTTTCTCATCAATTTCCTTTGGAATCTGGGTTTTGGTAGCTAATGCTCCGTCTAGCATTCTTTGCCAAACCTCTGTTAATGGGAAGAGCAAAGAAGCTGATCGTCACTTCAGATGTTGCAGTCATTAAATAGAATTCATTGTTTTTTTCTTCTTTTTTTTTTTTCTGAGGCATGGTCTCACTCTGTCGGCCAGGCTACAGTGCAGTGGTGCGATCATGGCTCACTGCAGCCTTGACTTCCCAGGCTCGAGGGATCGATCCTCCCACCTCAGCTTCCCAAGGTGTTGGGACTACAGGCATAAGCCATATCGCCTGGCCTTCTTTCACCACCTAAAGACACAGAACTTTGAGTCCAGTTTTCTTTGCCACTATCTCTGCCAGGGCCTGGCCTCTTGTGGGCAGGCTTTCTTCTAATCAGAGAATTTTCTCTACATTCATGCTCTAGCACTGTGATTTTCCCCCAGAAACCCCCATAGAAGGCACATGACCTGTGCTGGCATCTTCTGAATGACACTCAGGGCCAGAACTAGAAAACCAGAGCTCACGTGCACTGTTCCCAGCTCTCAGCAAGGACTTTTCTTCCCCTTTCATTCTCCACTTTCTACTGAACCCAGGCAGTTCCACTTCTCCTTTCTAGTCAGCCCCACAGAGGTAGCAGACAGCTGAGTCTTAGGCTAGTGCCAAGACTGACTTCATCTCCATGCAGGGATGGAGAGGCAGTCATGAATAGAAACTTGAACATCCATAGCTTTAACCTTGGATGTTTCACTAACCAGGCTCTGTCCCAGCCTTCTACCCATGGCAGGGATGCCTCCCTCAGGCTGATGGGCCAGCTGACCCACACTCAAATGCCTTCTACCCAGGCAGGCACTGTGAAAGCATGGAACCCACTAGATGTAGGGCAATTGGGAGTGGTGGAGAGTGTGGTAAACTAAGGAGTCAGTGTGCAGCTGTCTGTCGTTCAGTTCTCTCCCATTCTGCCATGTGGGAATTTAGGCCTAGGGTTGCCATGTCTTCCAGTTTGTCAAGAAAACCCAAAATCAGAATTTCTACATGAAACCTCTCAATTTCTTTTTTTTCCTCCTTTCCCTTCCTCCCTCCCTCCCTCTCTCCTTCTCTCCTTCCTTCTGTCCTTCCTTCCCTCCCTCCCTTTCTCCTTCCTTCCTTCCTTCCTTCCCTCTCTCCCTCCTTCCCTCTTTTTTTCATTTCTTTCTTTTTTTTTCTTCTTTCATTTCTGACAGGGTCTTGTTCTGTCGCCCAGGCTGGAGTACAGGGCTGCAATCACAGCTCACTGCAGCCTCAACCTCCTGGGCTCAAGTGATCCTTCCACCGCGGGTGCATGCCACCAC